GGGGGGGGGGGGGGGGCGTGTTCTGCTCTCTGCTCGCCAGCACATACATACATCCGAATTTCCTCCTATTTTATTTTTCATATCTGTTTTTATTGTCCTTCGTTGCCAATATAATTCATTCCACCGGCGCCGCCCTTTCTACATGAAAAACGGCGTCGCTTCACCTACTGCCACGCATCAATTTCTCCGTCCTCCCATCTTTTCATTTGAGTTTTTCTCTTTCTCCGTATCATATTTCCGTCCAATACTGAGGCCTACTGTGTGATGTGTGCTGCAAAAATTGTGCAATTTTTCCCGTCGTAGGTGAACTCTTTGGAATCTCGTTTGATAAGCCGAAGAAAGAGGTTTTTTAATCACACTTCACTCTGTTTTCACTCTGAGTTGTTGTGATCAAGAAGAAAATTGTGCAGTCAAGAAGGTTTCTTTCAAATTTGAAGTTACGTTTGAAGTTATGTGTTGATTTGTGAGTAGGAATTTAAAGGGTACGTAAATAAGGTTGAGAAATGGATGAAGAAAGGAGTGAAGAGACGAATATCGAAACAGGTGCTCTATAATATAATATACTCCAACACTTCTCCTACAGGCTACAGATATATATTCAGACAGTGGAAGAGAGTCCGAGAATGAGAAGTCGAGAAGACATCTCTCTCTCTCTCTCTCTCCAGAGGTTTTTAAAATCCTTTTTCTTTTTTCGGTTTGTACTAAGATTGAGTTTCTTTAGTGTTTCCCTTCTTTTATGTTTGATGTTGTAACCTTTACAACATTTTGTTGTTTTTTTCCCAATATGAATATAGTATTTTGCGCGCAAAAAATCGTGTTTTTCGAAGCTATTTATTCGGTTTTTCTTGAGGCCAAGTTTGGTTGCTTTTCGTATTTCTTGATTCTCCATCAGCTTTATTACCAGACTCATGCGTAGAAATCGGACACTCTTGTATGAATTCCATAAATGAAGCTCAAACTCGTAAAATCACTTCGAAAATTATTATTTAATAAAAAAAAAAGAACGCTACGACACAACGATAGTTGATTTCACATAGCAGATACTACTACGAGACTCGATACACTCACAAACCTACAACCGAAAAAACAGAGTCCAGAGTCCAGATTGATTGCCTTTTACACTAATTCAAGTAAACACACACAAAAAAGGGGTAAAAATTCCAGAAAGCATTGGAGTCGATTTTCACTTAATTAAGTTGCACAACGATGACACTAACGTTGTCTTTGCTTCCCTTTGCGATCGCCAGCTCAGCAAGCAAAGTAGCTGCCACAGAAGCACCAGCCTGTCTACTATTATGGCCGCTGGCCAGACATTTCTTCACAAGCTCGCATGCAACGTCGTTACATATAACATCAAACAAACCGTCGGTTGCTATTATCATAAATTCGTCGGAATCCGAACGGTTTACTACGGTCACTTCGGGCACTGAGGTTACATAAGGTTTCAAATAATAATCACCTGCCAAACAAAGTGTGTTATTTAACGATCCAGAATTTCGTTTACGTAATTTGAAATAATATAATTGCCATATTACCTATGGATCTTGAAGTGGCAAGAACTCCTTGGACACGCCACCCGTTCCGATTTGTGACGCTTCCTCCGGCAGCTTCTATCCTCTGTTTCTCATCTTCTCTATCGGGCTGATTAATTCACATTAAATTAGTAAAAAAATCGTTAATTATCAATGTCACATTTAATGAAGAAGGAAGCTGAACATTAAATAAATTGAGCCTAAATTAAATTAAATAAAAATATTGGAGATACAGTGGAACCTCGATAATTTAATACTCGATAAATTAATAACCTCGATTAAATAATAGTTTTTCTCGGTCCTGACACGATAAAAATGTGTTAAATTATTATTTCGATAATTTAATAATTCACTAAATTAATATAATTTTCCTTAGCCCGACTCTATTAATTTATATGGTTTAATATTAAATAATATATTTGACTGACAGCTTAAATATTTCCATAGTAACAGAAAGCAAAGCAGTTAACGGGGTCACCTTGTGGTCCGTCGACACCGGAACTACCGCCCCGCCGCGACAGAGCACCGCCCTAGAGTCCCCGCAGTTAGCCACCACCACCTCCGCCTTTCCCACAAGTACGACGACCGCTGTTGATCCCATCCTCCAATACAGCTGCTCAGTCTCTCCGTGCGCCACCTCATCCCGGCCGGTGCTACGGGCATCCGAAAACTCTTGATCCATATCACCGAAACAATCCACCATCAACTTCTCCCAATCAAAACCCCGTTCCTCCGGCAGCTTTCTCGCCTTCTCCATATGCGCCGCCAGGCACTCGTGCATCGTCTCACCGCACTTCTCCGCCACCTTAGCTCCGCCGTGCCCGTCGTAAACCGCGAAAAAGTAGTACTCTCCGGCGAACCACCCGGGCGGCGCAACCGTCACCGCATCCTCCATCGCCCTCCGCCGCCCCATCATCGAAACGTGCCCGTAAACCAATTCGCCGGAACTGTCGCGAATGTCCTCGAGGTTTGACATCGCCGGCGGCCTGGGGATCAAATCGGCAGTTCTCAGCTTTAGAATATCCAGTCTTCTCCGACGAGATTTTCTTGTTTGCGTTGCGTGTGGCTTCTTCGGACTTCTCATTTCATGTTCAACTGCAGCATCTTTTTTGTGCCGGCGGCTAGTAAGAGAGAGAAAGTAGAGAGAGAGAGAGAGAGAGAGAGAGAGAAAGAGAGAGAGAGAGATGCGTGTATAATGAGCTCGCATATAGGGTATTAAGTAGGAAGGGGGAGAGACTAGAGAGAGATGGACACGTGTAACAGAAGGCCGACTTGGCGGGAGATATTTGTGGAGTTTGCTTTCGATGGGAGAAGATGGAGTAACGGCGTTTGCAACGACGGAGGCTGCCGTTTTCTTTTGGTAAATTAAGGGTAACGTGGACGTTTCCGATGCACGGAAACCGTCTATTTTTAGCCCGACAAAATCACGTTTGTTCCTATATTTAATCTTTTTGTAGGCCGCAGGTTTTGCGGTTTCATAAGGTATATATGGCATCTTTGTTCTATCATGGTCTCGAAGGGTTGCTATTCCTTCTCTCACGACTCTAAATTTAGGGCCTGTTTGATTGCACTTAATGGACCTCTTAATGAGTCCTATGCTGATTCGGTCAGTAGATTTGCCGTTAAGTCCATTTGGTAACCATCTCTTAATCGGTCCACTAATCTCTTAACCATTCAACCGAAAATTTGCCGCTTATTCGGTAAGAGGAGTATCTGAACGAATATTGGACTCTTTTATTCTTAAATAAATATTTAAATATTTACCCTACCTCATAACGCGATATTTTTTCTCTCGATCTCCATCAACAATCTGCTGGGGGCGACGACAGTGAAGCACGACAAAAACTATCGAACGAAAAATTTTCAGGCCGGTAGGTTAGATCTTTCTTCTTCATCAATTTTCATCTGAATAAACCTTTATGTTCTTGAATTTTTATATATGTTAATTATGTTTTTAAATCCATAGTACATGGACTACATAGATTATTTATCCTCTATTAATAATCTTAAAACATATTTATAATGCTGAGATCAATGTCTTTATCTTCAAACTTCTTGATAAATGGGTGGCTCTGCGAATTACACTATAGTTGTTAATTAAAAGATTAATGAAAGCTTGTGTAAAGGACAAGTTATGTTGAACTAAACTAACCAGTAGTTCCAAAGACGAAGATCTGTCTCTAGGATCCTTTTGTATGCTGCACCAGAAAATGAATCGAACTAAATTAATTTACTTGATAGGAAAACCACAAAATAAAGGATTATCGGCAAGTAGGAATATTCAGAACACACGCATGAAAAAGAGAATAATTCGCAATTGTGAGGCGTAACAGAAATTGGCCGTCATCCACTGAATTCTCTGACACCAATAAGTTCTCAATAATTACTTTTATATTTTACGTATTTCATGTTTCCATATTTCAAAACAAGCCCATGTTTTAGAGAAAGAGTTGGTGACAATTATGAGAGTGATCGAATTTTTCACAAAAACTTCAACTGTGTGTTTTCTTGAAAGAGTTGATTTCCTATTGTATTCTATGTACTTCAGATTAAAGTTATTCAACTATTTTTTATTTAATTAGGATGGTAAAAAAATTGAACTCTTATAATTCAAGAGTGAATATTGTCTATTGGTTTAAATTTTCTTGTTTGTCGATAGTTTGTCTATTCGCATTTTTCTTGTTTGTCGGTAGTTTGTCGGTTGTTTGTAGTAATGATATGTGATACTGTATATTGGTTTAAATTTTTCTTTTGCGCATAAATATCCATGAGTATAGGGATGGAAGAATCAGAGGAAAATAGTAGAGTCAGATGGAACAATACTGAAGTAGATAAATGTTTTCTCGAAGCGTGTATCCAAGAAGTTGCACTAAATGGCAGGGAAGGAGGAAGCCTTAAGGCTGAATCTTGGACCAAGATTATGGATACTCTCAAGAAAAATTATAATTTTGTGGTTTCTCAAAGACAAATGAAGAATAGATACGACTACTTAAAACAAAAGTATCAAGCTTGGTTACCGTTAACTATGAAAACAGGCAATATTTACAATCATGCCACCAACACCATCAACATGACAAAGGATGAGTGGACAGAGTATATAAAGGTCTAGTGTTTAAGTTCTTCACTGTGTTATCTCAGTAATTTTCATTAACTATTCCACTATATTAAGAATTCTTATTTCATATCTAAATACAGGCTCATCCTAAGGCAAGGAGTTTAAGACTTGCCCCCTTACCGTATCCTGACCTTTGTAGAGCACTATTTGATGGAACCACTGCTACAGGGATTCATTCTTGGGGACCTAGTTCCCAAGATCCAAATCCTGGTACTAGCTCATTTTCTTCAACTGTTCGAAATGCAGAACAACATGACATAGAAGATATTTTGTTTGGTGATGAAGATGAAAATTTTGTCCCTACCACAGACACTCAGAGTAATGATTCCAACCATCAGTCACGAGGAGAAAAACCTAAAAAGAAAAAGAAAAAGATCCAACCTTCATCTAGTGATAATAATTTAGTAGAAGAGATGTCAGCTGCTTTGAAGTTTATGATAAAAAATAATAGTGGACCGTCAGTTACAGATTGCATTGCTAAATTGGATGAACTTGGATGGGATAAAGAAGACATCTTTTATGTCTCTGCTGTTGTGATATTTGGTAGTTGTGCGGGACATAGAGAAGCTTGGATGGTGTTTCCTAAGGATAATGTGGGTGTTCTGAAAGCATGGATTAAAAGAATTGGACAAAACATGGGATTTGAATTTTAACTTGCAAGGACTTATGTAGATTAATTTGAAGACTTCAGTAGTATTTATTTTTAATGAATTTGTTTTAATTTCCGTACAATAGTTATGAACTTTGCATTTTTTTGGTATTTAATAATGATAGACTTTGTTTTATATTTGCCTTGTGCGTTGAATTCTCTTTATGATTTAATTATGTGCTTAAGAAATATTGATTCTCAAATATTTAATGTATTATTCATTTATGTTAACAGGTTAAATATGGAAATTTATGAGATTATGATATTGATGATGATCTATTGGTACACACAAATTCGACCGAGACATTTAATGCGTGTACCAAGAAATATAGATAACAACTCAGCATTGTCCGGTCATGCTTACACGTTAGAGCTATTGTCTGGGTCAGACACACAATGTATGGATTTAATGCGCATGTCTCGTATTGCGTATATTCGCTTGAGTATGCATTTTAGACAAAGAGGGTGGCTACATGATAGTAAACATATATCTGTAGAAGAAAAAATGGCAATGTTCTTGCAGATTATTGGGCATAGTAAGCGTCTTCGTGTGGTGAAGCGTAGATTTCAACACTCTTCACAAACAGTTCATGCGTGTTTTCACGAAGTGTTACGTGCAATGATGAATATGGCAAGGGAGGTAATAGTACCCACAACATTTGATCCAAATCCAAACATTTCAGCAAGTTTTAGGAGATTAAACCGCATTTTTAAGGTATTTTTGTGCATTGTATATTTTTTTTGTCATTATTTTATTGCTTTAGATTTGTAAGTTTTCTAATGTTTGCATATTTTTTTAATTTTATTTAAATGTAGGGAGCAGTTGGTGCACTTGATGGAACATTAATACCTGCCATTATTCCAATTTCACAACAGACTATGTATAGGGGTAGAGGAAAGGGAGAATGTTATCAAAATATTTTAGGAATATGCGACTTTAATATGATTTTTACGTTCGTTTGGGCAGGCTGGGAAGGGGTAACACATGATTCAAGAGTCCTAACGGATACAGTTGCTGATCCAAGAAACGGGTTTCCATGGCCTCCACCTGGTATTACTTTAAATTCAAACTAAATTCTTAATATTTATACGTTAAATTTTGATATTACTTTATATTTATAATGGTTACAGGTAAATACTATCTTTGTGATGCTGCATATACACATACTAGAGGATTTATGGTTCCATATCGTAATGTACGATATTGGTTAGGAGATTATCGTCGTAGGCGTCCTTTAACTAAAGAAGAAAGATTTAACCATGCTCATGCTCAACTAAGGAATGTCATCGAACGAGCTTATGGAGTTCTGAAGAAAAGATTTCCAATTTTACAAAAAATGGCCCCTTTTTCGTTTAATGTGCAGAGAAATATAGTGATTGCTTGTTTTGCGGTTCATAATTTTATAAGAAAAGAGCGTATAAGTGATACACTTTTTGAGGAGTTTGATCAACCTAATATGTCATTTGATGGTGCGAATGAGGATGAGCAAAATCTTGTGAATGATGGTACAACTACTGGACCATGGTGGGGGGATGAAGACATGCAATACATGGCAAATGTGCGCGATGAAATAGCAACTCGATTGATGCCTGGAGGGACCAGGACCAATTAGAATTTATTAATTTTTTTTTAGTTTAATTTTAGGGATTAATATTTTTGAGCCAATTTTAATGACTTTAATGTATTTTTATATTTTCTCTGCTTTTATTTATGACTTTTATTTTTATTAGTTGTTTGAATTTGAAATTTGAAATTTATATTTTGTCTATGTTAGATATTATAAGTTCATATCAAGATATGTAATGTCTGTTAAATTTTTATAATTTACTTATTAAGTAGATCATGCTTAAAAAATATGTTTATTCAGATATTCTAATCAAATTTAATTACTAATAATGTTTCATAATTATACAAAGGTATATCAGGAAAATTATAATATTCAGACGTTACAGATATTCAGTTATCAAATGAACTTAATTATTCAACATTCAGCAATCAGACACAGCTCTTACCCATTCAGAGATTTATTCAGCATTCAGCATTAAGCACTTAATCCTATCAAACGGAGCCTTAGACTTTTTGACTATACTAAGTAACATTTATTTTTAGTATTTAATACATTATTATTATTATTATTATTATTATTATTATTATTATTATTATTATTATTATTATTATTATTTATTAATTAATAAAAAAAAGGATCACGAGCACAACTAAAACGAGCTCGAGCCAACTCATTATTCATCAGGTCCAATAAATCGACTCAGGTCATTTATACGCCTACTTCTATTTGGATGTGTGAGATTAATTCTTTGCGTAATTTAACTTTCTGCACTTAAATTTTCAAGCAAATTGAATGAAATTAAGTGGACAATTATAACTTTCGAAGAACAAATGATTAGAGTTTTACATGTGTTTGTGTACTTATAAATGATAAACATCGATTCAGTGGATTTGACCCGTTATATCATAATATAAACCAAATAAAACATATGCAACTGCCGGAAGATTTTGTAGTTTTCACCATTTGAGCAAAATTGCAACAAATCTTTTAATTTCTTCCACCAATTAATTCAGCATTACTTGTCCGAAACCCGTTCACCTGCATTTCTCGAATCTAAATTAGGAAATCGTTGACGAACATACGCAATCTAATTAGGGCTTGTTCGGTTACCGCTATAAGGTTCTACTGACTAAATAGTAGGGGCTAATAGCATGTCCGGTTGGTAAGATTCACACTTTTTTCAAATCCACTACTAAAATCAAAGTTTGCTATTAAATGCTACTATTTCTTTAAATTAGTAGCACCCCTCCCCTGAGATTAATTTAATAGGGGGTGACTAAAAAGGAAAAAGACAATTTTATCCTTAAAATCATATTTTATTATTGTAAACTAAGTGATTTTATAGACAATTCATATATAATAACCGATTTTAACAAATTTAATAGAAAATCCAATCTAAGAAACCGAACATGCTACTAACTAAATAATTAATTAGTCAGTAGGGTCCTAGGGAGTTAATCCAATCTCATGTAATCCAATTTAATCCAATATAGGTAACCGAACGAGCCCTTATTATATATTCGGCCGCCAACAAATACCGACCCTGTCATTGGTACACAACGTCGGATCTCAAATTAAATTCATAATTAAAGCACTTCCAAAATTGAATTATTCTTATATATACAATACCGAGATCACATTATTATATATACAATACCAGACAAATTAAAAACTCACACACATTACAACAGAAAACGAAAAGTACTAGCCAAAGTCGAAAGCCTTTCGCTGTACGTACATCCAGACCTTCAACCGATGATTGCAACAACTCGAACAAAACAAACCAAACAAACAATCAAACAAACACAAATTAAAAGTACAAATCAAACAGAAGACTAAAAAAGCATCATATATAAATTGTCGATTTGATATGATCACTTATTCAGCTGCACAACGATGACGCTTATGTTGTCTTTGCTTCCCTTCGCGATCGCCAGCTCAGCCAACAGAGTAGCTGCATGAGAAGCACCGGCCTCGTGTCTACGGCTTCGACTGTTATTATCCAGACATCTCTTCACAACTTCGCATGCAACCTCGTTGGAGATGACATCGAATAAACCGTCGGTCGCTATTATTAGAAACTCGTCGGAATCGGATCGGCTTACTACACTCACCTCAGGCACCGAGGTTACGTATGGTTTCAGATACTGATCACCTGCATGCCCAATTAATTTGTTATAACACAACAATATTAATATTTACTGTTGATTAATTTGTGAGATGAATAGAGTGTTTTTTTTTTTTAATTTATTTATTTTTATACCTAAGGATCTAGAAGTAGCAAGTACACCTTGGACACGCCAGCCGTTCCAATTTATGACCTCGCCCCCAGCAGCTTCTATCCTCTCTTTCTCATCTTCTCTATCAGGCTGACGTCATTAATATTTATTTATTACAATTAAACACATATTTATTATCAATTTTATATTCAAAGATAAATAATATAATAATATAATAATAATAATAATAGCAGTTATATATTATATATATATATATATAACCTTGTGATCAGTGGACATGGGGATTGCCACCCCGCCGCGGCAAAGAACCGCCCTCGAATCCCCACAGTTGGCCACCACCATCTCCACCTTACCCACCAGCACCACGGCCGCCGTCGATCCCATATTCTTGTACGCCGCCGCCGCCGCCGCGCAATCCTCACCCTGCGCAGGCGCCCCGTCGTTCCGGTCAATCTCCTCGTCCATGCTGATGAAACAGTCAGCCATCACCTTCTCCCAGTCAATATCTCTCTCCTCCGGCAGCTTCTTCGCCTTCTCTATGTGCCTCGCCAGACACGTGTGCAGCTTCTCCCCGCACTTCTCCGCCACCTTATCCCCGCCGTGCCCGTCGTACACCGCGAAGAAGTAGTACTCCCCCGCCATCCACCCCAGCGGCGCCACCGTCACCTTATCCTCCATCGCCCGCCTCCGCCCCATCATCGACACGTGCCCGTACACCAAGTCCCCAATCTTGCTCCCCGCCGACGGCCCTTCGCCGCCGCCGCCGCAAGCATCAGTGGCCTGCTCGCCTCTTCTACTGCTGTCGTCGGAAGACTCAGTAGAAGAAGTCGACGAATTCTTATCGGCGGACGCCACCCTCCGGCCGTCCTCGAGGCTGGACCTCGCCTCCGCCGCCGTCTTCGACGGGACGAATCTCAGTTGCAGAACCTGTAGCCTTCTCCGACAAGATTTTCGTCTTTTCCTATTAGCGTGTAAAGCCGCTTTTGGCTCTCTTGGACCTTTCATAATACTTGTTATTTTAACAGCTGTGTCATTATTTTTTTTTTCCGGCGGGTAGTAATTATAAGTTTGAAGTAGAAGCTTTGAAATCTGAGTCTAGTGGTCCAGATTATTATAAGTACACATATAATTTGCTGGTCTCTCTCTCTCTATATATATATAGAGGACCGAGAGAGATAGAGAGAGAGAGAGAGAGAGAGAGAGAGAGACGTGTCTAGCTAGCTAGGAGTTGGGGAGAGAGCGACACGTATCAGATATCGGAGTTGGCGGGAGATATTTTGTGGGGTTTTCCTTCGGGGGTAGAATGGGAATTACGACGTCGTTTACACATTTACCGTCGCCTGGTTCACGGATTTTCACCCGGAGTCAAACTCTCGTTTCTTTTTGTGCGAATCTCTGTTTGTTTTTTTTAATGGGGGGATTAGAGGAAGAAAATAAATTTTCGAAAATTAAAATTGGATCCACGTAATCTCATAATATTTCAATTCTTATCCAAACAAAAGTTTAAACAACAAATTATAATTTTAGAATTCGGAATGAAAAATATTTTTGAATTTTTTTTTGATCAAAATTGGTGAAAATCAGAAATATTATTCACCACTACCAACAGTCAATCTCTCCGAAAAAATAAAAACAAAATATTACAGGAAATAACAAGGAGTAAAATGTTTAGTTTTGTAAGGGGTGTGTGTGTAGATTTTAAACAGTTTTGGGGTCAAACTCGTAAAGAGGGGTAACTTTTTGATTTGAATAAATTTGGAGCAACTAATAAGCCTCCAAATAAAGGGAACAACAAGGTCCTGTACCAATCAAGCCTCAGTTTGGTCCAATTAGCCTTAAGACGCGCCGTTCAACGCGCGCATCACGTAATAGAGTAAAATACATCGAATAGATCTTTACCAATTATACACAAATACACACACATCCACCTTAGTGTGTGTAGATGAACGATATTCACCTGATGTAACATTACTAGGTGTAACACATAAATAACCCTTTATTTTTGGAATCTCACAAATTTATGTTAGTTAATTAAAAAAAAAAAACACCATGTCCCGCAATTTTGAATTAATCACTGGATTAAAAAAACTATGTCTTAATATACAAAAATTAAAATTTTCTAAATAATTAATTTTTTAACACTTTAAACATGATTTGACTGCTACAATATTCTTTTTCCAAAATATTTTTCTCCAAAATTAAAATATTTTTCCTTAATATTATTAGGGTTTATATTTTATATTTACCCAAAGATAATAATTAATACATGCCAAAAAAAAATGTATCTCCTCACTAGTCAATATATATTACATATATATAACTAGGGTACTTCCTCCAATTTTCTTTTTTTTTTTAGACTTCTATCATTGAAAGTTGAAACGACCACGTCTTGTCGCTTTTACCTACTTTACTAGTGCAATCTTTTTTCTAATTTGAAGTTCATCAATTAACCGATTTTGATCAATGACCAATTTTTTTACCCCATCGTCATTGTTGACTGCCGTCGATTTCTCTTACTCCACTATTTTCAGCGTTGTCTTTCTTTTTGAATATTCGTTTACAGCCGTTGATATATATAGATTATAGCCTACGGTTGTAGTACGACGTGAGTGATCGTTATCTATTTATAGAGCTCTTTAATTTTCAAATTACACTAGAAATTCGAATTGGTATTGTGAAATTGATTACTAAGTGCATGAATCATGACTCTTATAAAAATGATATAACATGCACCAGCCACTTTATATAAATTTGAAGGGTCAAGGCGGCGGAGCTCAGCCTCCCGCCGCCGTGAAGGGGTAAAGGTAACCCCTCCGCTACTGGTGCATAAACACACACACGTACGGTTCCTTCGACCCTACACCTGGTGATTATCACCGGGTGTAGGGTCGAACAAATCCACACTTACGGTGTGGCTAAAACCGTGGGCGGACGAAACCGCCACTCAATTAATGGTTTTCTCCTTAGTAGAAACCAAAACGTTGTATGAAATTTTGTTCCCCCTGCTGATTATGAATCCGCAAAAACTACTTTTTTTTATAGTAGGTTTTAAATACTACTACATGCATGCATTTATGAATAAATATAATACATAATATATTGCAGTCGATCAGGTATATATATATATATCATCATCAGAAAAATGTCATGACTATATTATATATATGCACAGGCCAAATTGCTGTACAATATGCCAAATATTGCAATTTGAAGATTTTGTTTTCTAGGGAATAATATCTCTTCTAGTTTATCAATATGCATGTAACGCATATATATCAATCATTTTGGGCTACTTAGAATTGTAGCCCTCAAATTTTCTAATTTAACAATTTCGTCCCATGCGGCCATTTAAAAAAAAAAAAAAAAGTTCGTTTGTTACTGACGTGGCAAACAAATTTATCAATTTCACAAGTTAGTGGATAAATTTATAATTCAAATTATCCATATATATAAACAATATTTGGAGAATTTATATGACACGTATTGAAAATTTTGGTGAAATGTGAAATTATAATTAAGAGATCAAAATAATAGTTTATCCTTTTAAAATTTAAATGAAATCAAGTTAAAATAAAATTTAATAATTGGCCCCCAATAGAATAGTTTAGACTTTAGCTTATAGTTCCAAAATTGAAATATACACGAGAATGGAGTGAAGCCATAAACTTCTGTGCCCATTTGATAAGAATGAGAAACTTCATGTCACACGGTCAGATCAATTTACATGCATCCACACAAATATATATATTTAATTTATACTTATATTTTTATGCTGCTTTTTTTTTTATATTTGATTAAAATAGTTTTGTTTTCACGTCAGAAAATGTAAATTTATTTATTTATTAATTTTTTTTTTAATATCGATGCATAATCAGTTTTGGACTTGAGTGCAGCCATGCGACATTTTGTTATGTCTAGATTCAATGGCATATCAATCTCATTCAATAAAAAAATATGTGCCCCTAAATTATTTTAATTAAAAAAAAAAGGTTAATGTAGTATATGGTTTCTATTCATTTTGTAATATGTTTTTACTATGCCTGGTAAAAAGTACGATCATTTTATTTCTTAGATGTTAAAATTTTATTTTGGTATGTCAATTGTCATGAATAATATTTCTGTTCATATATAGCACATTTTTTGAAGCTCAAGTTTTTATTTTTACTATTCGGATAAATTTCACTTAATTTCTCGTTTTTAAAAAGTATTATTACTGAAATATGTATTATGTTGATATATATGTCTATAGAAATCAATTTTATTTAGTTGTAATAGTTTACATTAGTACGTTGAATTATAATTCTTGTATAAACACATATTATAAGTATAACTATTGAAATCAGAATAAATAACACAAGAAATTAATATGGTTCGGGCGCAAATGTTAGATATATCCACGAGGACCTGCAGATAAAATTTCGCTAGTTCAGTATACAGTAGTAGGACTTACTCCATCCGTTCCTTTATAATTGTCGTTTTTAGCTTGTGCACAGGGATTAATGATCTCAATAAATGTTGCTTAATTTTAGAAAAATATATGTTCTTATACTAAAATGTCTTGCCAATAATTAATGTGAGAGAGTGTTGAAGATAGTTAATAAGGGTAAAATTGATAATCATACAATTAATGCAGTATTGAAAATGTAAAGTAACAGATAATATGGAACAAAAATAATTTTAAAAAGAGACCGTTATTGTGGAACATATGGAGTATTAGACCATTAAATACTCCTTTAACTCATATGCGGTTATTGTACACAACTCGAACGTCTTGTAGGGGTGTAAATGACTCGATTCGGCTCGACAAAAGCTCGAACTCGAATTTTTCGAACACGAGCTCATTTTTAGTTGTTCGTGAGCTCGCTAGCCGGTTTGCGAGCTTTTTTAAAAAAAAAAATTATTTTGAATATAATTAATATAAATAAATAATAAATTCATATAAATAATTAAAAAAAATTATAGGTCTATTGTTTTATTTCAATTTTTTTTAATTATAATTTATAATAATAAATTTCTAATTATATTAATAAAAATATATACAAAATGGCTCAGACTCGAGCTCGTCAAAATAGATGCGAGCTCGAACTCGCCAAAACATCCAAACTCGACTCATTTACAACCCTACCGTCTTGTTTCTTCATGCAACTCCTCTATCCACAATTTTTTGGACTTTCTTCAAGACTGAATATTAATCGGATGTAGAAATCAAAATTAACAATTATGTGTACCTAAATAAATCAAACAATTTAGTACTACATTAGTAAGAATTGTTTTGCTAGAAATCATTAAAATATTCCTCTCTAAAAAAAGAAAAGGGAAATCATTACAATATTATTGGCAGACCATCCACCGGGTTGGATCGGTGCACTTGGGCTCCAAGAAACCATCGTTCATTTAATTATTTTTTGGTTTTTCTCCAAAATATTAAAAGTCAAACGAGTTCCATCACAGTCTCCATTCATCAATTCTCAAATTAATTTCCGCAGTATAAAAGTCAGATAAATCCGAATTTCTTAACGGAAGCACAAGTGAAATTGAACGGATTAGCGGTTCGATGGAGAGTTTGTTGGTGCGCATGTGCATCGATGCAGCCACTGAGAGCGCCTCCGCCGTCGAGAAGTGGCGGAGGCAGCGGCGGACTCTTGAGCGCATGCCGTCTCATCTCGCCGACGATCTCCTCCGCCACCTCCTCCGCCGCCGTCTGCTTTTTCCTTCCCTGCTCGAGTATGTATTTTCTAATTAACCGATGAGTTTTTTTTTTTTTCGCTTTTATTATTTTGAATCTGTGCTGATTTCTTAGTTTCGGCAACCTCTGATCCAGTAATTGTAAAGGCAATTATCAGATTTGTGCTCGCGGACTAATTTCACGCAATTAATTGTGTTGTTTAATCTGAATTTGTTTGCGTTTTAAGCTGCACTTGACATTTTTTTTTTTCAAATCTGTAGATCAATTGCCTTGGTAAGAGCTACATATAACTGATGTTTAAATATCTTTATGTAGAAATTAAACCATAATTAGGATATTTTATGATGAAACTGGTTATGCTTGAGTTATTGAATTTTTTAGTGAGATATCCGCCTGACGTTTCTTCTCGTCAGAATTTAGATCTCTGAGATAATCCGGCAGTTGATCTGTTTCATATTTGTCCAATTGATTGCTTCGGAAATAGATTCATTCGTTTGTTTGAATTAATCAATCAATGATGGTCTTCTGCTGCATCTAGTTTACCTGTGCTGCTAAAATGAATTTAGCCTTTTGGAAAATGTAACGGTGATGAGATTTGTAGTAAACAATGGATAATCGGAGTTACGTTTTCAGCATTAGTTATGATTTTGTGAAATAGAATGTCTAAATTGTTTCTGGAGTCAGTTGTATATTGTATTTGATATCTTCATTTATTTGTCATTCTCCAGAGTTTTCAAATACAGTGTAGAGGAAATTGATTTGAGAGGTGAGAGCTTTGTAGATGCAGAATGGATGGCATATTTGGGGGCATTCCGGTACTTGCGTTCAATGGTTTTGGCAGACTGCCATAAAATCAATAATTCAGCTCTTTGGAATATAACAGGTGTGCAGAATGCAGATGTTTTTTTGAACATATTCAAACTCATGGTTAGAGAATAAAGATACATATGTGTATATATACATACATATACATATGTAAGTACATACTCTAGGTTATTTGCGTAAAACTGGAAAGCAGTTCCTCAGCCGATGGCCCTATGACAGCATGGATTGCCGTAGTCTCGTTTTCCTTAATACGTTACCTCAGTTTTTCCCTGTCTAAGTTTTCATATAGCTACATTGATGACCTAATATAAGGATGTCCTATCTCTTGCCCCTGGATTAGGCAGTTCATTTTACAAGCAAAACTAGTTTTATTTGCTTTCTTCATTCTTAATAGTTGAATTTCAGGTATTAGTATGAAAGACCACATCCATATTCGAAAGTTTAAGGGGCATGCTTAACTGATAGTTCATCAATCGCTTTTCTTTAATTATAATAAACTATATTTGGAAACTTACATTGGTTAAATTTTTCAAAAAATTATCGACTGCAGTAGTATCAACTTTAGCTCTATGTTACTGACTTCGTTTCATAAGTTTTACTACATCAGCTTTAAGTTTCATTAGTTTGCGTTTTATAATGTTAGTTGTAAGTCCGTTCATTTATATCAGGATTGATGAATTTAAAGGAGCTGGACCTTTCAAGATGCTCCAAGATAACAGATGAAGGGATTAGACATTTATTATCAGTTCCAGACCTCGAAAAGTTATGCATTTCAGAAACAGGTGTTTCTGCAAACGGCATATCGATTCTCGCTTCACTGACTAACTTAATGATGTTGGACCTTGGAGGTTTACCTGTCACAGATTCAACTCTGAGTTCCCTTCAGGTGCAAAATCTGTTTGAGTGTATGAGATTTTATTTTATCCCATGCTTCTTTGACAGCTAACAGCATTAGTTAGTCTGAAGTAAGAATCATATTTTAAGTTTTTTTTCTTATCTATTGTTGGGTGCAGTTAAAGTGGTTGTTTCTAGTATCTCTTTCATTTCTATTTACCTATCCGACTGTGATACAAGTTAAAATGCATTACGTATGTTGCTAGGATATGTAGCCTTGTCAAAACTGACCAGCGTAATTTGAAAATTTTAGGCTCTCAAGAAACTGCAACATTTAGACCTTTGGGGGAGTGAAATATCTAACAAAGGTGCAGTTCTCCTCAAGACTTTCCCAAGCTTGAGTTTCTTAAACCTAGCTTGGACCAATGTAACAGACTTGCCGAATTTGTCGTCTCTTGCATACCTAAACATGAGCAACTGCACCATACATTCTCTATTCGAAGGAGAAGGTCAGAAGCCTTACCTGGAGAAATTGATTCTATCAGGAGCTACAATCACTAATGTTGATGTCGCCTTCGAATGTGTCGAAACACGTAGACTCTGTTTCCTGGATATATCCAACTCGTCCGTACAGTCGTTCGGGTTTTTGAGTTCGATGAATGCAATGACCGATTTGAACCTGAGTGGTACTGCATTAACTGACAATTTTGTCGAACACATTGCACACACAGGAGACAATTTAAGATACCTGAATCTCAGCAGTACAAGAGTAAGTTCAGACGGGATTGCATCATTAGCTGGATATGTTCCTAGTCTCGAGACTCTATTGTTGTGTGGCACATCCATTGATGATAAAGCTCTCCCATATATTAGCATGATGCCATCTCTCAAAGTCATCAACCTCAGCAGTACAAATGTGAAAGGTAATATTCCAATATCAGCACCTTTCAGTTATTTTAGTGTGCGTTTGGTTGCGGGATTTGAGGGTGGAATTTCAAATTGATAATAACAAATTTATTGAGGTTGTCTGGATTAAGTCATTTGGCAATGGATTTCAGATCCTTAATTCTCATTTTAAGTTAATTGTTGAGCAATTGTGGTAGATTTCAAATCCTTCGTTTGGAGTCATTTCAAATCCATCTTAAATCCATTCATTTCAATTCTCTTAATCCAAATTACCTTAGGCTGCGTTTGGATTGAGGGATTTGAAATGAGACCAAATGGGGAGGATTTGAAATGACTCAGAATGGGAAGGGATTTGAAATCCTCCACAATTGCTCAAAAAACAACTAAAAGTGAGAGCTATGGATTTGAAATCCGTTGTTGAATGACTCAATCCAAACAACATAATGGATTTGTTAATTATGGATTTTAAATCTCTTCCTTAAGTTTCTCTAGCGAACTCAATTTTGCAGATTTGTAAACCACTCCATAAGTAACGATTATTTATTTATTTATTAATTACCAGGTCTAATATACCAAGAAAACCGTATTCCTGATGAGGTCCCATCATTTTCCGCACTGGAAAGTCTAAGCCATTTAGAAAGGTTAGATTTGGAGGATACACATATCAAAGATGCTGGACTTTGCCCGCTCACAAACATGGCCAAGTTGAGCTATTTATCCCTCAAAAACGTCTCCCTTACAGATGCCTCTCTACACCAAATCTCATCTTCCGCAAAGTTAATGTATCTCGGTTTTCGTGATGCTGTATTGACCGATACTGGACTTGCTGCGTTCGTTCCTCCTCCAGCTTTGGAAGTTCTTGATCTAAGAGGATGCTGGCTATTAACACAGGATGGTATTTTGCATTTCTGCCATAAGCATCTTCAAATTGAAGTAAAGCATCGATTTGTAGAGACTCTTGATAAAAAGAACTCCCCTTATTCGTCTCCATCACGAGCAACTACGAAGAGTTTGCAGTTCAAGCACAAGGTGGGCAAGCTGTCCGTGTCACCGCTCAAGTCTGATGATATATTTCTGGGTGAGTTTTCTTAATTGTTTGTCCGGTTCAGTTACCGTAAAAATGATGATCGTATCTTAACAATTTTGTTCCTGCAGATCAAAGATTGAAATATAGCAAAGAAGAATTATTAGCTCTGCAATTTTGTTCTGCGACATTTTCAACTTCAACTTCGACTCTGCAATTTGTGTGACGACTTACTCACATAAAGTTGGAATCCAACTTTCTGGTTCTTATAAATATAAAATATGCATGAATTTTGTCTTGGGGATTTGTGGTAGTTGTATGTTGTATTCCGAAGAGGACTGCATTGGCTGGTTTTGTGTAACTGCGAGCAGGGGTTTATACCTCATTGCAGATTTGAATTATGCTTTATTCCGGAAAATGCGAACTTTATACCTTAAGATCAACTTGAACGGCTCAGCATAGGCAATGCACTGCATCTTTTACTCGAGTAGTAGCTTGTGTATTCGCGTCAAATATTAATTGAAAAGAAAATTTGAAAGTTGTGATTCAGTTCTCTATATGGTACTTCCAGGCTCTAGCCAGACTTTAGAAAATAACGGGTAAGAGCATCTTAGACAAAAAGAATTATGTAATGTGTCGAACGTGATCAATGCCGGTAGTGGGTCATATTGCAATAGGGCTTATTGCAATTAGTACCAC